TTCCAATTCTGTCAGTGCAGCATACAAAAAAAAGTTCAACTGATTCATCTAGGATGAAAAAAAAAATAAATTCTCCTCATCATTAGGGACTAGGTTAAGACATCTCATGTTTCAGTCTTTGGCCATACCCATACTACCATTCTGCTGATGCGTTCATTCACTATTCAATGAAAAACCCTGCTTATTAAAAAACTTCTTTTTAAAAAAGAAAGAAACCTACCCTTTCTCAAGTAAGGCTGAATACATCCTGAACATTTCCTTGCAGCTTAACTACAGTAACTATAATGATACAGGCCTGACAGCAGCTGATGTGATATGCCAGCTGGAAATCTCTCTTATGCTAAAAAGTTTACAGCCTTTCTGACAAACAAAAGGAACAACTGGTACATGAAAATTAAGTTCCAGTCCACAATACCATAGATCCAAATTTGGGTGCACCTGTAATGCACTATTACAGCACTCTACCCAACTAACCATTTCTCTGACAGCTTCTGCTACAGCTTCAAGAGCAGAGAAGCAATCTGGGTCACAAAATCATATTCAGATGTTGAGAGTAAATTACCTAGCTGCATAACTCTACAACCATGCCATCTTCTCTCTCAAGAGAAAGTGTTTTACAGTAAGTAAAGCAGTGAATTCCTCTTTTCAATACATCCCTTAACCTTCTTTAAATTTATTACATTTTAATTAAAGTCATAGTACTTTGTTTAGATTAGTTGAAAACCTCAGGTTGTCAGCCAGAATATCTTATTTATAAGAACTCAGAGGTCTTGGATTCCCATATTTGGATTATGTTGCTTTAATTTATTTATTTTTCCAATTAAAAAGTTCTCACTGCTCATGCATTTTTTATTCCCTAATGCTCTGTTCTATCAGGAGAAACATAAAAGAAGCAGACAACACGTCTTTTCAGTTGGAGACTCCTTCCTAGCCTGCTCCAGTTTCATAATCTATTCTCTCATGCTCTTACCAACCCCCTCCATCAAACAGCTAAGAGTATCCATCAAAACCACAGGCTGTATTCATAGTAAAAAGCACTCCAGCACGTATTTTCACTGGAAAGCATTAATTTTTGCAGCAAAGTGCCTTTCTCCCTTTTACACTTACAGACAAGTTCAAGTAAAGGAATACTGATACTGTCTGAACAGCTGAGTACCTTTGTAGCAATATGGTTAACAAGAAATAAAACAATAAAAATATAAAGCAAGCAGCCTTCGAGCTTACCTCTCCAGATTAATTAGATACTCAAAACAATTCGGAATTTATATTTCTTAAATAAAATGTCAATAAACACAATTTGATAGAGCACCTACCACCTCTTAAATTGTAGGGGGTGTGCTATTTCCTCGCTGTTCTTTAACACTATTAAATGTAACTTCCTTCCACGTTGTCACTGTTGCAGGCGGCAAGCACTGCAGCGGACAACCCGGGTACCACGGGCAGTGTTACAGACTCCACGGTTTAAACTAACTGGCAGTAAAGGGAAGACAAATGCCAGGTCTTGTAGGACTACAACAGTCTCCTGGGGTTGCAAATCTCCTGACAACGCAGATATGAACAGAGGGATCCTTTATCTCTGCTCCCTGAAGAAGCCAAATCTGGGAAGGTGCATGGCAGAGTTTATTTCATTATATATTAACCCTTTAGTGCCGCAGCTTATTTAAGGATCCTCTGACAATGACACAGTTGCTCTACCCTAACCTAAACACTCACCAGGAAAGCCCCTGAAACCCCCGTTTCCCTGGAGCAGGGGAGCACAGATCCTACAGATAACAAATATTTTGAAACAAGGTTTGTTCGCCGCTACCAGGCTCAGACTTGGACATGCAAAGAAATTAACAGCAGCGTACTTAGCTTCCATGTGACTTTCAGCACAGGTTTTACTTGTGCATGAGTTGTACATTCATAATTAATAAAGTCTTTTCATTTTTCTAAGCTTTCAGAACCTTACTAGAATGTTAAAAGCATGTTGGCAAGTACACCCGCTGCTTATTATGCCAGCTGTCCGAGACGTATCCCTGGCTAGAGGTTACTGCCTAGGCCCAGCACAAAGGCTCTCCAAGCCAGGGGGAAGACTCCAGCGACATTCAACAGGTTTTTAGTCTGGACTCTAATGTCTCTTCCTGTGTCAGCAACTCCAAGCTTGATCATCTAACTCAGCTACAATTCTCACTCTTTGTTCTTGAAGGAGCACAAAAAGGAGTGTATTGGGTTTGTGTGGCAACGTTTTGGTAGCGGGAGGGGCTACAGGGGTGGCTTCTGTGAGAAGTTGCCAGAAGCTTCCCGTATGTCCAATGGAGCCAGTGCCAGCCAGCTCCAAGACGGACCCGCCGCTGGCCAAGGCCAAGCCCATCAGCGATGGCAATAACATAGTTAAGATGGGGGAAGAAAACTGCTGACAACAAGCAGCCAGAAGAGAGGAGTCAGACTATGTGAGAGCAGCAACCCTGCAGACCACAAGGTCAGTGCAGAAGGAGGGGCAGGAGGTGCTCCACGTGCCAGAGCAGAGGTTCCCCTGCAGCAGCCCATGGTGAGGCAGGCTGTGGCCCTGCAGCCCATGGAGGCCCACAGGGGAGCAGAGACCCACCTGCAGCCCGGGGAGGACCCCACGCCGGAGCAGGGGATGCCCGGAGGAGGCTGTGACCCCATGGAGAGCCCACACTGGAGCAGGCTCCTGGCAGGACCTGTGCACCCGTGGAGAGAGGAGCCCGTGCTGGAGCAGGTTTGCTGGCAGGACTTGTGACCCTGTGGGAGACCCATGCTGGAGCAGTTCCTGAAGGACTGCATCCCGTGGGAAGGACCCACGCTGGAGAAGTTCACGAAGAACTGTCTCCCATGGGAGGTATCCCACGCTGGAGCAGGGGCAGAGGCTGAGGAGTCCTCCCCGTGAGGAGGAAGGTGCAGTGGAGACAACGTGTGATGAACTGACCACAACTCCCATTCCTCGTCCCCCTGCACTGCTCAGGAGGAGAAGAAAATTGAGAGGGAAGTTGAGCCCGGGAAGAAGTGAGAGGTGGGCGGAAGGTGTTTTTAAGATTTGATTTTATTTCTCATTGCCCTACTCTAATCTGATTGGTAATAAATGAAATTCATTTCCCCCTCCCTGCGCTGAGTCTTTTTTGGCCATGATGGTAATTGGTGAGTGATCACTCCCTGTCCTTATTTTGACCCATGAGCCTTTCATTATATTTTCTCTCCCCTGCCCAGTTGAGGAGGGGAAGTGAGAAAGCGGCTTTGGTGGGCACCTGGTGTCCAGCCAGAGTCAACCCACCACAAGAAGCAAGTAAGAAGCAGCAGGGGCTGATTTCAAAAGGACATGTACTTGGGCAAACATAGCTCCTTTGATACGTATGCCTCCCCCATCATGTTACGTCTCATTAGAACAGAGGCAATTATACTGTTTTAAAGATGACTCTTAAAATTACTAAAGGCTTTTACCAGTTCTCAAGTACTTTCCTTAACCTATCCAGGTCTGAAAAACAAAGTCAACTTTGAATTGAATCCAAAAGACAATCAAGCACCAAATGTCAAAGCAATTTTACAAATCAGAGCAATGTGGGTGATAAGGCAAGGAAGAATAAATGTAGATTCCACTATCTGTTTACAAATTAAAAGTTTCATCTCCAATGTTTTCTGATCCACTGCAGTTTTTGGAGGCCAGCTTTGGGCATCAGTACAAACCCTGGAGCATCATCAGGTTGTGGATGGATATTTTTCCCAATGCAAACATTTTCAGTGCACTCTCAGACAAAGATTAACTTTAGTAACACTGCCCTCACAAATCACCCACTCGGAACAGCCTTCCAAACATACAACGTATTACCATAGCCCTAAACAAAGAGTAATGCAGCTACACAAATTCATGCATATCTCTAAGGAAGCAATGCTGCAAACCCCTTAAATAAATCCAGTAGGAATAGAAGAGATTCATATTGCTGGTCAATTTTTTTTTCCTTTTTGCTTTGTTTTTATTTTTTTACAGGGGAGAGAACATTAAGTAAAAAACATAGAACTTCTTTAACTAGATAGGTCCAATTCAAGCAAAATTCTCCTTCTGATGGCACCAAATCTCTGCAGGAGGTGGGACAGGTGAGTCTATTAACTGCAGTCATATCGTCTTTCCCTGAGACTTACTTGTTCAATTAAGCTTGCAAAGTATTGCTTCTCATTAGGCATCCTGAACTCTGCTGAGAGCCAGTGACACCACACTAGCCTACAATGGTGGCATTTACCTGCAGACTACAGCTCTTAACAATGGCTTCTGTGCATACTTTCAGCTGCAGCTTTCCTAACACCAAGCTTCCCCATCAACCACTAAGTTAGCAAAAGCCAAGGTCTTCAATACATCGTGAGATCAAGTCCCAAGGGAAGAGAGGTATTAGGGAAGAGATATTCCAGGTTTGCTGCTTTTTATTGCTTGAAATCCTGACAATCTGCCATCTTGCAGTCTTCACAACTTATAAAGGAAAGAAAGTGCAATGACAGACAGAACACCTTTCAGAAAATAAAAAGCACCAGGGTCTAGACATGCCAAAAAAAAAAAGCTTCCAGGTTTCTCTGAAGTTTCCAGTTGGGGCAGCTGGTGGAAAAAATCAGTGAAAAGTGCATTGCTTGATTACATAAAATAAAATTAAAATGCCTCTGACACATCTATCTATTCAGGTTTTCGGGTATACTGAGTGAAGCAGTTCACAACATAACAGACCGCACGCCAATCTATCACACTTAAATGCAATCATAAACATAACATCAGCTAGTGCCTAAACTAGAGAGATGCATTTAATACTCCCCAGTCAGCAATCAACCTTTTCCACATTTGTTCATAATCACAATGAAGTGTTTCATTTTAATGCTTTGTTTTTACTTTCTTACCCCATGGCAGTTTGCCATGCTTTTTAAATTAGATATTTTAAAAAAATTCTCCCTTTCCAATTTTATCCCTGTGTGTAAGCAGAGAGCATTTTTTAAAGAAATCTAAATTACTGGACATATTTTCTTACCTGTTGCAGTCCACGTGGAGCAGAAGGTGGGATGCACTAACTGACACGGCAATCTTATGCCACTGCCCATCTGCCAGACGGTACGGGAACACCTCCGTTCTTGACTTCCCATTAAACCTGTAGTGATATCTAATCTCATCCCGTAGGCCACTGCTCTCCAGTTCGAAATAGCTGTATTTAAAACATGAACAAGAATCAGTTCAATTTTTTTCCTTTTATTCATTGCTTCTGTCACTTTCTTCTTAATTCACAAATTTCTTTAAGCAATTTCCCCATGGAAGGTCACAGTCTAAAGAGGTTACATGGCATGGATTAGCCACTAGTTCATTTTTTAATAGAGGTAGAGAGACAAGACTGTATATTCAGTGCACTACAAAAATAGCAATACAATTTACACAAAAACAGCTCACTTTCAAACACCTACTGATAGTCCTGGAAATTGAAGTCGTCTTTTTACCCACAGGACAGGTTCAACCACAAGAAAACTATTCTTATTCTTTTCCCTGAAATGTTTTGTATGAATGCAGGATTTGTAGGAAATGCAAAAGTAAAGAACCGTACGTATCATTACCAATGAACAAACAAAAAGCCATTAAGGTAAGAAAGCACTAGGTAATCATTAAATTTGTATTTACTATTTGCAAATCCACTCCTTAAAAAACTGTTTACTTTCAGGACTCCCCTATATGCAGTTGTGCTTAACTCCTTTGCTGACTTTCATTGTTATAGCTATAATTGTTCCGCTTTACAAGGGAACAAAACCTCCTGGCTGGATTAGGTGTCCCAACAGCTGGCACAGAAACCCCTCAGAGAGTTGTCACCAGAGAACAGCTATAAGAGAGCTAACCAAGTTCAGCTGTTAACTGGCTTCCTGCCAGCGCATGGAGACAATTCTTTTCCTAGAGTAAATTCAGTTCTTACAGGTGGTAGGGCACTGAAGTGTAAATAGTCAAGCCTTCTCTTGGACCTCAGATCACACAGAGTACGTACAGCATATCAAATCAAGGCTGTCTTTTTTCCTGCTAAAATGAAGCCCTGGGTATAGAAAGAAGGAGATGCAGACCTCCTTTTGTAGTAGAAATAACTCTACAACTAAATGCAGATGTTAGGTCATCCAGCTAGTCCCTACCCATGTCTGCCTCCACAGTGCGACGTTTTTCCCTGCTGGACAACAGCAATTTAACGTGGCAGTTGAAATATAGGTGCTAGTTTGGTGTGGAAAAAAAAAAATACAGTAATGGAATCTACTTCCAAAAATTGTGCAACACAAAATAAAAGTATCCAGGTGCCAATTTTCATTTTCACACAAGCCCTTTACACTGCCCAACTGCACACAGACCTTCATAGGCAGTGTGCACAAGTGTTACATGAGGTGTGTGCGCTTCATCAAGAATAGCTCTTACCAGTGAAGTGGGGGCTTTTAGAACATAACTGAAAAACAGAATTCTCTGGGAGGCACATACTTATGAGATAAAATGCTAGCTGGGAATATGTGCAAAAGATCGCAACAGACGGGGAAGGGGAACACCAAGACAATAAATCTCCACCAAAAGAGAAACTCCAACTGTCCTCCATCCTGCCAATGCCTTGCCATTACGTTTTTCATGCAACATATGAGCATTATCAGGTCACCCGAATCAAAGACTCAAGCAGGAAAGTAAAAACAGAGGCACATAAAGGCAAAACCAAAACAGAATGAAAACACAGCAGGCGTACATACAAATAAAATACACGCATTTCAGAGTGGAAAAAATAAGAAAGGCTGGCATTGTGAAGGAACTGCTTCATGCACATAAAGACACAAGGAGGGCAGAGAAACAGGAGTTTTTCTAAACAGGAGAGCACAATATTGATTCATGACTGCCACCATCACCACCCATTTAAAAAACCCAAATTACATTCATAAGAAATCTGGAGATGATTTTTTTATTATTTTATTTTGATGCTCAGTAAGAGCACAGTCAATATACAGAACATACTGCTGCTGGCGTTTTCAAGCCAGGAAAGCACAAGTACTGTTAGTGAAGTCATACTTACAAAGTTAAACGTTTCATAATTGCCATCTGCTGTCAAAGCACAAAAGGAAGTCATTAAAGAGACTTTCTCTCTTGTTCAGCCAAACAGCAGAGGCAGAAAACTTTAAGAAAATGAGGGGGAGCTATATAATATTCTAGTATCTCTCACACACGAACTATTTCTATAAATATATACGTTACATGGTTGATCACTGAAGCTTAAGACTGAAAGACAAGCTTCTGTTGCAGGAAGCACATCGCTTCCTGCAGTCATTCTTCACAATTTCCAATAGTCACGGAGCTAATCACTTACTACACAATGTTTTGTTTGTTAATAAAAAGGCAACAGTCCAGCTCTGGAAGGTCAGTCAGATACTGTACTTAATCACATCTCTGATGTATTATTTGAACAGCACAGTGAATTGCAAAGCAACTTAGCTTCTCATCTGACAAGCTTTATCATCAAGAGTTGCTTCAAGACTAAAAACAGCTTATCGCTTATGCACCGAGTTTGTTGTCAGTCTCCTGACTAATTTATATAACATAGAAGTGACTAGTTAAAATTTACTGTAAAAGCCAGTAGTAACATTTTTATGTATGTACACTGCTTAGTGCCACAGGACTACATAAAACACCGCATTTTACTTCTTCAGTGACAGGAAAGGAGGATGACAGCAGACAAATTCTGCACCTATTTTTTACCACCCTTCAACAAGTGCAAATCAGAAGCAGTTACGCTCAGACAAACATCAGTAAACAACAGTCAACAAAATCCCAACAGCAGAAACTGTTTGGATTAGCCCAACATGTATCTATCTCAAGTATTTAAAAAACACAAGGCAGTGTAAACCAACGCTCTTGCACTGTATTTTTTTTTTTTTTGTGAAGATACACAAATTCACATTGAGATCTCGGCTACACACACACTTCACCATGTTCACAGTTCAGAAGATGTAGTCGTCTTTCCTCTACCAGAATATAATTCATGTGCAAATAGCTTTCTCAAAAGCAAACATCATTTTTTTCTTTCCTCCTCCCACCAGACTGTGGAGGAAAGCCTCTTCAAAAGCAATGACATAAAGGTCATTCATTCCTGGAAATAAATACACCTGCCCTGTGTTCAAGTTCTAATCTTCAAATTGTGGAATGGATGACAAATGAGTGGAAAAACACAAGCTTAGACAAGAAATCATCAACCTGTAAGAAATTAATTAGTAGAGCCAGAGAAAATAAATGGATTTTGGTTTTTTAATATCCATCCCACCTTTGACTTGAAATTCCGTTGCACAAGTTTTTATCTACTATAAACCAATCAGTAAACAACAGGGGAAAATTAACAGAAACTACCACACAAAATGCAAGAAAATGAACTAATCTCTAACAGGTATTTTGTAAGTACTTCTCAGTATTTCACAAGGAAGAAGAAAATAGGAACAGAAGTCAGGGTTCCTGAAAGGATGGCAGCACCTGGGACCAGCTGAACAATCAACAGCATGAACTTTCGATGTTGCTACAGTTGCTTGAAATCGAAAATAACTCCCAGAACACACAAAGTATGTTTAGAGAGAAGACAGTGTTTTATTCTGCGCAGGGTGCAAGGTGGAAGATTTCCACAAATCACGCACACCTACTGCGATTCATCATTGGATGTTTATTCACAAAAGTTACAAAAAGCTCCACCTACCCAATACAGTTATTCCACCTATCTAATGCATATTCATTATGTTACACAAGTAGGGTCGTCTGCACCCGCACAGCAATTGTGCTGAGCCAACAAAGTCATCTACGCCTGCGCAGCGGCCTCAGAGGGTCTCTGGTGCTCATTTGCAGAGGAAGACCCCTACTCATTTTGTCCCTTTATGGTCGTGTGTAATCTGAGGACAGCAGAGTTCTTGTTCTTCTTGCCAACTGCTTGTTTCACAGTCTCACAGCAGACGCATGTCCTTGGTTGAGCATGTCTATAACCATGAGATGTTCCTTATCTGGAACCCTAGCTGCTATTCAAACACTTTTTCAAGAGTTAGTAACTATCCTTAAATTATAACCTTTTTCTTAACTGTCAGTTCGCCTTATTAAAATATATCTAAATGTACATCACCAAGGTAACACCACGAGATCCGTACCTAAAGCCAAATGGAGATCTCCGAGTATTACAACCAGTTCTGCTTCTGTATCGCATCTGCGTGAAGCCTGTGTGTCAACTTGCTGCTACCCTCCCTCAAGGTCTTTTCCAAGAAAGAGAGATGTGAGATTACGGTAATCTACTTGTCAGCTTGTTAGCACCAAGTGATGTTTTCTTGTTTTATTTGCTATTTCTCAATGAGGATTTCTTTTTCTGTATTTTTTTAAACAGGTGTGATCAGAAGCAACATGCATTCTGACAGACTAAATTCTCAGAACACATGTATTAAGAAAGCTCACTGTTTATGGAACAGCAGTACAATAGGACCTTGGCTGAAATTTTCCCACTACTAGAATTTCCTTATTTGCTAAGTATGTAAGCAACTGCTGCCTTCTCTTCTACAATTATAGAATTCAAATGCTTTTTATAGGTCTGTCCACACTCTCTCATTCAAATCTCAGTGTTTAAGAGACAAACATGCTGCTAAATTCAGATTAATTTTACGCACATCAAAAAAGTTGGGATATTTTAAGATCTTGCAATGTGCTTTATAGAAGGACAATATTATTCCACCATCAACTTAAGCTGGTTTACAATTCTTTCTGACAACTTCTGCAACCCTTACGTACCTTACACATGAATATTGTTATGAAAGTATAAAGCCTCAGTGATGTTTAATGCTTTTTTGTTTGTTTATTTTTGTTTTCTCCTGCTTTTAGTCACTGCCATAGTGAATAATTAACTGCATTTGACAGCTCATTTCACTTCCAAATCAGGAGGAAAAGGTGCCTAAAGGTGTACTTTAAGTCAGAAACAGCTGCTGTGGATGTAATGACCAAGAAAATTGGAAAAGTCATTATCAACATTAAACAAGAACATGTAAGACACCTGAAGCAGAAGCAGCAAAGTATTTCTATAGGCTAAATTGACTTAATCCACCATCTGCATTAAAGAAACATATTCATCTATTCACCATATCAACCACAGCAGCGATCTTAACTTGTGACAAACCACACCATGTTTCATTCAAAAAT